AGATGGCATACTACCCACATTTATCACAGAAAGCCTTCTGTCCTGCTTCTGAATGAATTGATACCAAAGAAACATCATTTAATGTTTACTTTTGGGCCCACTTAATCCTCTCTTATTCTGAATATGATTTCATTATTTTATATATGTTAGGCCAGAGCATGCTTGAAAGATTAATGGGAATAAACAGAGGGCACTCATTAGAAAATCCCACTGGAAAGATGGCTCTGAGGTCTTATTTCCTTCACGCTTGACAATGTATCAGCCACAAACACCCAAGACTTTACATTTCCTTTTCATCTCTTTAAATTGATCATTACTGTTCAATTTTATTTTAACATGGTGCATATTTTAAAGAGGGGAAAAATTACAGATTTTAATGTTTGTTCAATACTTCAGACTTAGCTTAGCATAACCTAGGAATTTTAAGAAAACATCTTTCTTCACTCAAAAGAAACAAAAATCATTGAGCTTTTTTCACCAGAACTTCATCTTAGGCTGAGACCCACACTGGCCAAGGTACTTGGACATTAAGGTGTGGTGACCTCAAGAAGTCATGGCATTAACATCAAGGCTTCTGCTTATTTTTCAAATTACTTCGAGCATGTGTACTTTACTCATAGGCTAGTAAGAAAGTAAAATGTTACTCAAGAAATATTTTCAAAATATCACAGACCCTGTGTTAAAAAAACAAAAAAAAGGTTTAAAAATAATTAGGTGCAAAAAACCACTCTGATCATTCAAGACCAAGAGAATACAGGTCTTAAAAAATTTGTTTTTTGGGAACCAGCAGTTACCATAATGGCTATGTCACTGGACTCCCACATAGTCGACCGCGGTTCGCGTCCCGGACCTGGTGGCTTAAAACTCACACCGGGCGTGTGTGCGTGCGTGCCCAAGATCCTGAGAGGAGAATGGAGGAGAAGGGATTGTGGCGTGACCACCCCCCCTGGGGGGTGATTTCTTGCTTTCTGTCTCTATGTCTCTCTGTCTGTCTGGCGAGTGCACATGCCCTATAGTGAAAATCTCTCAAAAAATAAAATTAAAAAATTTGCTTTTTGACTTGACCAAAATGTTGCATTCATAGCCCCTGTCTAATCCAGTGTAGACGATATAGGCTAAGTTTCAAGTTGGTGACACACTGGTGACAGTAAGAATGATCCTTCCTAGTCTCCAGAGGCCACCAGACTCACTACAAAGATCAACGAGATAATTTGCTAACTGCCAGAAAATTGCATCCTGATGGTTAGAAATGAATGTCTCTGTCTTTCAGACACATTTTTTTCTTCAGTTACATAATAAACTATTTCTTTTTCATTAGTAACTTACATTTCTGGGTCAGACTGCGCAACCCTGAAAGTCAGACTTAATTATCATGACTTCAATCTTCCTTCCAGCTGCTAGGAAAATTACGTGGCTAACCCAGGGTCAGGAGCCTTTCACGGAGCAGAAGAATAGAACAAAGGTCTTGTTTGAAAAGGAAGAGAGAGAGAGAGAGAGAAAGGGCAAGTATACATTTGACCCTGGAAAGGAGAGAATTCTGTTCCACCCAAGATATTTTCCTTGTGTTCTCTAGAAGTCAGACTCTCTTTTCTTCCCATTCTCTGGGACCATTCCTTTCCTCATCCAACCCGACACCGGCAGCTATAGATCAGGATTCAGTAGTTAGTCTTCAAGTGGTTTCTTAGACTTTCTTCTTCTAGTCAGCATATAATATCACACTGAGGACGGCCTCAGTTTTTTTAAGTTACAGTGCTATGATATTTTCAAAATTTACCCTAAAATTTTCCTACCAAGAAAGCAAAGAACCTGGCAGAAAAAGAGTGATTATGCTTTTATCCCTTATATTCATAATCAGGTCTGTTATCAATCTGGACTGTATTTAAAGAGATTTTTTAGACTTTGGATATGTATTATTCAGGTCAATATTTCTTTCTATACCTCATTCTTTCTCCTTGAAGCAAACTCCACTGGATTTAAGCAGGTTTCAACTTTATTAAAGTTTTAAAAAAGTTGTCTAAGACTGAAAGGAATTTCATTAAGCAGCAAACACACCAATAGTCAATGATGCTATAGACGTTGAATAGAGATTAATTCCCTTCTAATTCCAAAAGTCTACTATTAATTTTTAGAAGGTAAACAATCTGTATTATAATGTCTAACTGGTCTAGAATTAAAGACTTTTATACGACTATGTGACCAAGAATGTTCTAGCAGTTTATTTACTGATATTAGGTAGAATTTATTTTTATGAAACTGTCCTTCTGTCCTATTCAATAGTCACTAACCACTATCATTTGCACAGTGTACAAATAATAGAAAGCTATTACATAAAGCAGGCCAGAGACATACAGATGAAATTAGAATGATTCCATGCAGAGAAATATAAGTGATAGATTCATGATCTTCTTCTCAAAAGGAACCAAGGAAAGAATATAATTTAATTTGCATGTTATCTTCTCTCTAGCTCTCCTTTCAAATTTCCTCTTCACTTTCTATCCTTTAATACCCAAGATCTTCACACTGAAAATTGATCTTTAAATCATATTTCAGAATTCAGTTCTTCACCAGGTCTTTTTATTAAAGCATATTTATTTATTACTTGAGTAAGAGCATCAGAAGGAGAAAGAGACAGAGACACATTACTTCCAGTAGGATCTTTTTTTTTTTTTTTTTTTTTTTTTTCCAAAAAGGCATTCGCGTCTTCT